AATGTTTACGTGTTTCCGAGTGATGAGTACTGGCTTTTTATAGCAAAACTCATGGTGTCACAGCAGATCTGGACTTCCTCCCTACACCGCGGATTTGGACCCCCGGTCCAGATCCGCTAGCAGATATGGATCCCCTTTCGCGGAATTGGACCCCCCTGAAAATAAGCGTTCTTTTGCTTAAGGTAATTAAATTTCTTTGCATAATGTTTTTTGAGTTGCAGAATAGGCAAAATGAAAATATTATTAGGTAGATTTTTCTTTTCAAATGATCTTTATTGCTTAGAGTAACAAACATTTTGAAAACCAAACTTTCTCAACAATAACTTACAATACTTTCTATACTATAACTAATTTAAACGAATTTTTAACAAGCTATTTTTAAATAGTAATCAAACGAGAAAATGATAATTTCCTGTAATATCTGGTGATGAGGTCGTACAGAAAGTCTGCTACGCCTAGCAGTAAAAACATGATTGAATGAATGATCCTCGCAATCAATTTCTTTCCGCAATAATTCAAAATAGTCTTCGATTCTAATTGACATCTACACTGTTGTTCTACTCTACTCGATACTTAAATTCCATTTAGCTTCCAATTACTAACTTTTTTCATTGATTGCGCGCGTCGTAACAATACAGTTTGATGTTCTAAACGTCAAGAAGTTATTTTTTTTTGTCTTTGTGCGAAGGAAAATATATAAAATTCATCCATACCTTCTGCAGATTTAGTTTTCAGGGGCGCTGCCTCGGGCCATTAACTGAAATAGCAAGTGCAATTTATCAGGTACTTGTTTCCTTGCGACGTTTCAGGGAGGGGACCAACGAGGTCTATACCTATTCAATGAAACCCGGTGTTCTGCACTTTAATTGGGTGGAGCTGAGATGAAGGCTTATCAAACTTCTTTGAGCTGCGCTGGCAAACATCACGGTTTCGTCGCAGTGTTCACCGATTCCAGTCCAATAGTAGCGAGAGGTAACTTGAAAATAAACCCAAATACGAAAGTTAAAGACAAATTTACGTCTTTAAATCCATATTAAGTCAATAGACCATATTAAATCAAAATTGAATACCAACGTAAATTGTAAAGACCTTTTTCTCGAGTCTTGTCGAGACCGAAGTGTACTGCAAGTTTGTCTCAGGAGTGACAGGCATGTACAATTCTCTCCAGTTCTTTCTTGTCATGCACCCATCTCTTCGGTTCACTATTCTCATTTGCGACGAAGAACAGCGCACCGTCATCCAAGAAAAACTTTTGCGCCTTTTTTCGCAGGTTTCGCTTTTGGTCTTTGGTCCGGCCCTCGGGATACTGGCAAACTTGGTTGTATAATTTGGTCTCAGCCATGTCAGTCAAACAGTTATAAACGGAATGATTACTATACTCGCTCTTGCGAGGGACACTTTAAATACTTTTAGTGTAAGCGAAGTTTATTGATCAAAATTTAACTGCTCATTCTTTTGTATTATTACAATTGCTCTATTTATGAAACCGCGGAATTTCTTTCCCATCTCTTTCTCACCTCAAAGTAGGTCTGTTAGAATAATCAATAAGAACGTTTTTTTTAAAGCGCCGACCGATTATTTAAACTATCAATTGAAACAAAAAGAACTTTAAAATAACAATGCTTTGAAAGACGAGTTAAAATTCGCATCTACTTTACGAAATGCCACAGCGCGTGCTTTAAACAACTTTTACTGAAACTCAAGTATAACTTCGCTTTTTCTCCTTATTGAAAATTAATACGAGAATTCATGACTGGGCAAGTTTGGTTATAAAAAAGGAAAAATCTTCTGAAGCCATGTAGTCAAGTAAACTTCTAAGAACGATTCTTCCAACGAAGAGGTGTTACTTCAAAAAGGGGGCACCTCTTTGTGGAAGCGCCGCCCGTTCAAACTATCCGAATGGAAGAAAAAGCAACGCTTTCCGAAAAAGCCACAGCGGAGGCTTTCAACAACTTTAACTGAAGCTTAAGTCTGACTTTGCTTATTTTTCCTTATTAAAAAAATAACACGACAATTAAAATTCACATCTTAGATCTACATACTTTTCGACCTGACCTGAATTTTTGCATGTTTGTGCTCTTTTCTCTCATAGATTCTTGACTTTATACATTGATTGGTTTCGATTTTTATTTTTGATGGCGTGACAGTAAAAACCAAGAATTGCTTACCTACGTGGCAAAACAGAGAAGCCATGACCAGGGTTACTTGGGGCCCGCTTACAAGGGGCCCGTAAATACAGGAGGCCTCCAGCTGTCTATGGCTGGTTGACACACGTCGAGGTGCGTAGGCATCACGAGGTATCCAAGGGCGGTTTGAGATATGGAAACTACCGTTTACCGTTTTCATAAGGAGTGGTGCGATGTACTTGGAGTATATATACGCACATGGCTATACCCATTTCATGAGTCCAGGATTCCTCTTGCATGGGTCTTATTCATCAGTAAGGTCTCCGCTATAAACACCCTTCTTGTAGAATCTTTGGAACAGATATAGCACGATAGACACGGATTAAAGCATGGCGGATCCTCCCGCTCACTAGTCTCCTTCGCAGCCGTTATTAGGGTCGTCACTCGTCACGCAACGCTCCTCTTCACTAGTGGGGAGGAGCGTTGCGTGACGAGTGACGACCCTAATAACGGCTGCGAAGGAGACTACCCGTTCACGCGCCCCTAACATCATGTAAGACTCCCCAAAGTAAGCATATGTATTACTTCGCATAAACGAAAACGAAACATCCTGCACTTCTCAAATATTTAAATAATATGACAATTACAAGAATCAAAACGACATCGTGTTGCAGTTGAGATTGGAGTATTTCTCATTTTCATTTTGTTTTGTACT